CTTGCAAAGTACAACCCTTTATCTTGTCCACTTTTGCTGCCACAACCAACGATCAGACACAAAACCATGTTCCACGCGAAGGACGCTACTAGTTTGTTTACAATTGAGGTACACCAATATGGCGGCGTAGCAACGGTAGTCAAGGAATTGGTCGGGTAGATTTCTGATGACGAAATCCGAGCTCGCCCGATGTTTTCATGAAGGCCCTATTTCGCATTTTAGAGCCGCAAAATAGAGTAGAAAGGAACACTTACTTCGTTTTCGCTCATGACTTTGTATTAGCGTTAAGATATTTGCATTTTTTTCCGTTGCTAACATATATGACAGATTCCACAAAATACATTTGACGCCTCCTTTTCACGGATGGCCGATCACAACTACAACGTAATGACATCTTCACGAAATCTGTCAAAAGGAGGATTTTAAAACACCGGAAATCTTCTGGATTTCTGATGAAATAAATTTAACGCAGTTACGTTCAGAGTTTAAGCGATATATTGTTATTTCTAATATGGTAATTGATAAATAAATTGTACATTACCTCGATTGGACGGAGATTAAGTTTGAATATAATGTAGCAGGCGATATTACTTTTGTCGACAAGGATAATCCGTGACTTGTCTCACCTATTATATTTTCTCTATCTGCGTTGTGCCATGATCATCATTGAAAATATTCTATGATAATATTTTTTACAATATTTAGATGAGGATTTTCAATTCTAAACGCAAGAGCGTACTTAGGGAAAGATCTATAAGAAACAGTTTCTCATGAATACATTTTAAAAATTCTTTTAGCTGACTTCTACATAGATAAAAAATTACTACACATATATATTTCACTTCGACGATTATCTTAATAAACAATTAATGGGAAGTTCTGAGAATCAGTTTTTAATACTACATGTTAAATTAATGGTTATTTTTCTCTTCCTGCTTAAGGGCTCTTTCGCAGTTTGGACAACGCCAGTTTGCACTTGAATCTTCCAAAATAATTGTTGAAATGCATTTCCTGTGAAAAAACTCCCTGCAGCTACAACATTTTACACAACGAGAAGGAGACTTCGAGTCTGACTCTTCCCTCGGCATTCTACACTCGCACATTACCGAGACCTCTTGAACAAAAAGTGGCCTCCTGTCTCGACACTCGGGTACTTTAGAGAGGGGAAAGGAGTCGAATGATCCACTCTCCAGGCTCTTTAAAAGATGTTGTCTTATCAGCTTCCTGTCAAATGTCAGATTAGAAGGATTGAGGCCATGTAGTAGCGAAACCAGAAAAGCAATAGCATAAACTCCACAGTCATCGGAATTGTTCTGGTGTTGCACATTTGGTACAATGACCTTAAAACTGGTTCCTTCCTCGTATATAATTGATGCAATCTGTTTCTGCACGAGGGCTGCAATTCTTCCCGAAAACAGGCTGTCTTACAGATAAACTACAGAAGGAGTGTAGCATCCTACAGTAGATACCAACACCCAATGATGGCTGCCAGTATTCAGGATTTGTGAAAATTGGCCTTTTTGAACAGAAAAACTAAAAATAAGTTGTATTTTCCAATCCTCTTGCGTGAGGGAACTGTTCCCTCAGAACAGACTGAGCTGCACCTACAATATGGTCGGTGAGCCAGTCTCCAGTTGAAATGGTGCTAATGTCCTGTTCCGAGAGATGGAATTTACCGGCCTTTGAGGCGCTTCTGTTAGAGGTCTTTACAAATTCTACTTCATCATCTTTTTTATTTTGCTGGGCCAGATTTGTGTTCGTTGTCGCGTTTACTGTAAGGATGATGCATGTGTTTGCAGTGCTGGTTGTGCTCGAGGTTGTGTTAATGGAGGAGATGGTGTTTGCGTTTGCGGTGCTGGTGATGCATGTGGTCGTGTTTGGTGTGTAAGGGGTGCTTGCCTTTACAGTTTGATTGGCGTTTGAATTTGAACCATTAGAGTTATTCACGTTCACACTGCGGTTTATGTTTACTTGAGCCTCGGCGCTTGAGTTGGCATTCTTGATGTGTGCGAGTTTCGGCTGTTTGGCAGGCTGGCGTTCTATATCGTTTAAGCTGGCGTTATACCCCTTTTCATGTTGTTTGCTCTTTCCCCTACACGTCCAGTGAAAGGATTTTTCTTCTGAGATACTGGAAGCCTTTTATAGTCTACTTTCTTTTTTTTCATCCTGCGCGAATTCTTTTTCATAGTAGACTTCAGGAGAGACCTGACCTTTCAGACAACTTTCTCTCAAACAATGAACTCACTTCTTGACAAGTTAATTTACGTGCCATCATAGAATTGGAAATTTTGTTCAGAAAGCGAAATTATCGATTGGAATACGGCCGAACGCTGAATACGAATTGAGTGAGCAAACAGATACTTTGATATCTCGCACGATAACAAATTTCCCGCCTTTGCTAGTTTGGACCATTCAATTGTCTGAGAGTTAATCGACCGTATCATTTATCTTTCCTCTCCATTTCCGGTGTTTTAAAATCCTCCTTTTGACAGATTTCGTGGAGGTGTTACTATGTTGTAGTTGTAATCGGCCATCCGTGAAAAGGAGGCATCGCAAAAATTTTGTGGAGTCTGTAATAAAGGTAAGCAACGAAAAAAAAAAGCAATATCTTACGCCTAATACGAAGTCATGAGCGAAAACGAAGCACGTGTTCGTTTCTACTCTGTTTTGCGGGTCTAATATGCTAAATAGGGCCTTCATCACGAAGACAACATCGGGTGAGCTCGGATTTCGTAATCGGAAATCTACCCGAGATGACCTCCTTCTGACGGATGTCGGAGTGTGCTTTCCGACTTCCTCGAACCAGTCTTTTTTTTCATATTCGCCCCATTCTTCATCGGCCATCAGTCTAAACAGTTGTGAATGAAAGAGATCCTCGCAGTAACGTGCACTACTTGAGCAGTAGTGAAAATAAGGCCTGAAAAAAATTCAGGCCTGTACGGGATTTGAACCCATGACCGTTTATTCAGGGGTTCTTACAGTCAGGGGTCTTAAAATCAGGGTTCTTACATCAGTGTATCTTACATGACACAAATCTAGGCTACGATAGAGAAAGGATTTCCTGGGCTTAGCAGGATTTCCACGAAGATTCCGAGTCACTCGATAAGAGCTGGCATTGAAACACTTCAATCTTACAATCAGGGGTTTACATCAGTGTATCTTACATGACACATCTGTGCCCAGTTATTGCTATTGATCGTTGTTCCTTACATTACGTGTCTTACATGACAGGTCTGTGGGGTTCTTACGATCAGGGTTCTTAAAATCAGGGGTTCAAATGAACGTGTATTACATGTCGAGTCTGTGCCTAGATGTTGATATTGATTGTAAAATCTTACGATCAGGGGTCCGTGTTGATCGTAAACTTTTACATCTAGTGCGTATCGTGTGCTCAGCTGTTGATATTGACCTTACAATGTCACATCCATGTTAAACCCGTGTTTTCATGTTTATGTCGATCGTAAAATCTTACATCTAGGGGTCTGCGCACAGATGTCGATATCGATCGTGAATGCTTTCGTTACATCCAAGGGTCTTAGATTCGTATCTTAGATCCAGGGGTTTTTGATTGTACCTCTGAATAGTCGCTATGTAACAATGACGAGTTATATAAGGGGGTGTTTTGTTAAAATTATACGGTAGTTTCATATAAGGGTCTGTTCCTAGCTACTGATACTGATCCCATTTTACTTTATTATACCGCAGAATCGTGTATAAAAAGGCCACTACAAAGACAAGAAGAGAAATGATACAGGACCTCCTTTCAAATGACTCTCGAAGTAAACACTAACAAGTCGACTCTAGAAAAGAAGGCAAAAAAAAAAAAAGAGGACAAAAAAAAAAGAGGACAAGCACTAAGATGCTGGGCTTGTAGAAAAATACAAAATGAAGATGAAGTTACCGTCACCGTTCAAGGACTCTATGTCCCTTATGAACAGAATTTCGTTCCAGAAACAATGTTTCATTTTTGTCCGAAGCAACAATGCATAAACAAGATACCACATTAGACCGATTTAAAATCACCGGATAGTATCAGAGCTGACAAAGATAATGGTTTGCCAATTTGTAACTCTGTTGACTGATAATTAAATCTTGAGATCAATGTGTTTGAATTTTTTGTTCATTTCTTGCAAACAAAAATATTCTTTCATAATGAAAAAAATGAACAAAATTTTAAGCAATTACAATTTGAAATTTGTTATCAGCTAATTACTTGATATCAGGTCAAAATAATAAAAGGTTCAATTTTTACGATTAAAGTTCTATTTTTGGACCCACGAAAATTTACCCGCGACCCGCGACACGCGACAATTAGACATTCTCTTAAATATTCAATAGTGACATCTTATCTACATCTACATCTACTGTTATTACGTTGGTAAAATCTGTACAGACATTACACCAACCAACTCGCGCGTTGAGTGAGAAGACTATATGAAGGATCGAAATTACATTAAGATTGATTTTTATCAAGAAATGGGCCAGGAATATTCCACAATAGTACAAATAATCGTGAAAGCTGATTGCGGGAAAGCGATTGCGTGACGCTCGGTAAGTTGTACGATGACATGTTATCAAATACCAGACGAAAAAACTCCAAAGATTCTCAGGCGGCAGTCTACATTTTGTACCTAGTCTACATTTTGTATCCGGTCTGCAGTCTGCAGTCTGCATTTTGTACCAACAGGTATCCGTGGCACCAATACAGTTTATTTTTGGTTACATTTATTCGCACAGCAGACACAATCTACCACAAAATACCTGTGTGTGAGTTAATTCGACATTTTCGTTCTTTTCCGCGTTAATACTCTTCTTTCCTTTTGTAAAAATGCAGACATCATTTACAATTTTTCAAGTAATCCACCCACCCCCCAAAAAAACTTTTTCATGCATAGAATGCCTATGTTTGTTTATTGTGAGACGTACAGAAAATAAATAAAACTTGATTGTTTTCTCGGAGAGATTGCTAATTTGCAATTAGCTTTTTTTTATTTGAATGTGGCGTAAAAGAGTTCCCGTACGCGTTTGTGTATTTAGAATTAATTAATTATATTGAATGCGCGGCGACAGAAGCAGCTGGGTACCATCTCAAAGGTGTTTCACTCAAATAAACAACTTTCCAGCAGACTTAATGAAACCCGTTTAATATCAAAAATACCGTTGAAATTATATCAGTGTAGTAACTCAAGTATTTTTCACTATAAAGTGGCGAAGAACTTAATAAGTTGAGATCACATGATAAAGCATAAAAAAGCCAACGACAAATTTCCTTCTCTACCTTTTTGTTTTGAAACCTGTAAGGGTTTTATACACATTGAAAAATTAAACACCTCAATACGAAAAAAAAAAGCTACGTATATCAACGTGCCAGGGTTCCTTCTCCTTTACCAGCCTACTTCAGTAGTGCCAGACCCAAGGCAGAGGTAACGGTTATCAGGATCACACTGGAAGAATATGAACAGCCCGCGTTACAGTAGTCGGAGTCACAGCAGCCGACTGCGCATTTCCCGTCTTTGACCTGGTCACAAGCCTCTTTTGTTTCAGCACAGGTACTGCTACCTCCACAAGAGTTAATCACTAGAGTTACGTCGTCTTTTTTGCCCCAGAACCTTATGCATTCACCGCCTGAGCAGTCTACCGATCTGCTGGCCTTATTTGCTTCCAGTTTGCTCTTGCTACATTGCTCTTCGGTTCCGGTACAAACGTAGCACTTGAGGCTGTAAGCTGAAATAAAGGAAATTAAGAAACTAAAATTTTAATGTATTGCATTTCCGCTTAATATTCCGCACTTCCATTAATATTACCACGTACTTTATCCATATTAGGGGCTTTAGTTTTGTTGAAGAGACGTGCGAGAAAAAAAAAGCGAGCTCCGCTTTTAAGCTTGCCTAAATCTATATATTATTCAAGCGACGAGGTATTCTTTTTGTTGAAAGGAGAGAATCGATTTGAGCAAAGTTCTTTGTATGTCACGATTTCCTCGTTCTCGAACCAAAGAGAATTCAGAAGTATTGATGGATGCGTTTTTGGTGCGGTCAAGGTTCTGCACGAACTTCATACCTCCTATGACGAGAGGAAGCAAACATGAAAAAACAAGCAAATGTTCCTTCTCAAACGAAATAACACGGGATAAATGATACCTGGAAAGTTTCTTTTATTTGTTTCCCATTCTGCATGAACAGTGAAAATTCTAAAGAAGGCTTCGAAACGTAATTTGACCAAACAGAACAAATCTAGGCTACGATAGAGAAAGGATTTCCTGGGCTTAGCAGGATTTCCACAAAGATTCCGAGTCACTCGATAACAGCTGGCATTGAAACACTTCAACATTATCAGAGATTGAACGAAGGTTAAGGAAAAATCGATAATTCGAGAAACGAAACCGGAATAAACTCCACACATAAACATCACAAGCAGACGGGGAGGCTGGTGCTCAGCTTAACGTTACACACAAACAACGCACACAGCTCAATCAAAGGGAAGACCAGTGGCTCGAGGGAGCAAAATCACTTCATTTAAGCTTCGACGTGGCCACCATAAACGAACTCATAGCTTGAAAGGAGCTTGAAAGCGAAAGAAGGGTATGTCGACAGGAGAGATTGCTCGTGCGCAGCAGGTGGTGTTACTGTTCTCTTATTTCACAGTTAAACTTCACAATAACAAACAGAATAAACTTACCAGTTGCAAGAACTGCACAGAAGACAAAGATGCTCAGCACAAGACCCTTCATTTTGCGTATCTCAGTGACTTTACGAACGTTGCAGCTTCCTCTGACAAAACCAGCGCCCTCCACAAACACGCTCTGTAATAGGGCGTTTATATAACGGGGCTCTACCAATAGGATTACTAGTTTAAAATAGAGCGCCAATCAGGACACTCCACATCATGCGCCTTGTTATCGGCATTAAAATGGATGACAACACTACAAATCACTTGCAAGAATGTGGTAAAGAAATCCCGGCAGCACTAATCATCACAGAAAAGACACAGGACTAGGCCTAACTCTAAGGGATTTTACGTTTGGTCAGATATTGTGGTATTTAACATTAAACAAATTAAAATGAATGTTAAAATCCCTGTTGATTGGTGCATTGTCTATGCCTTCTTTCCGTATTTCTAAATTGTTCTAGTCAGGTATAACCCGGTCGTTATTTAACAAATAGAGAAGCCTTGACTGTGCTCTGTTCTGTTGTAAAGCACGCAGGAAGCGGCTAGAGCACGAAAGAAGTGTAGGGGGAAACACGAGACGTAGTCGAGTGTTTCTCCCTACTTCTTGAGTGCTCTAGCCGCTTCCTAAGTGCGTTACAACAGAACAGAGCACAGTCAAGGCTTCTCTATTTGTTTTATAATAAAGAATCCGTTAAATTCCCCAAGAATTACTTTCAATTTTCAAAACAAATCTTATTTCCAAAGCGAACAACAGTGTCGTCAGCATGCTCTATACTCTCATAAAGCACGCTACAATAAGCCAATCAGAATTCCTGTTAGAATGGTTCAAATAATCTGATTGGCTGTACAAGACTAAAGCTGTCAAAAATGTCAAACCATCAAAGTTCATAAACCATCAAAGTTTATATTCTGCAATAGTTTACAAACTAAAATAGCTCGGCATGTCGAATTTAACACTTTTGCCTGAAGTTTTTTAGTTTCTAATACAGGATCTCAAAGTAAAATGTTCAGTGAAATTCGGCCCAATCGTGGCTCACAAAAATACGCAAGTTATTTCACATTACAAGTAGAAAACAAACTGTTCAAGGCGAGTGTATTATGAATGAACAACAGCCGAATTCACCAAGACAAAAAGATCGCTCGGAATGACAGCGCTGTAAAACTCGGTTGCAGTGACTGATCTGGCCTTCCACTCAACGCATCGGAAAGGTAATCAGGACAAGCTCTTATTTTTTCACTCGAAGGGTAGTCGATTTAGTTCCTGAGGCTTGCTCCACTGCGATGACCGAAGATCGCCATGATTAGCTAGCCGCGATAGACCTTAAGTCTTTGACACCGTCATGATTAGTATGAATTTTAACAGTTATGCCAGGTTATATTTTTCACAATTCCTGTTTTTTTCTAGTTGAAATCGAAACTCTTCATACTACACAAGTGTTAGCTGTTTATTACCGTACGTAAACTCGCAATCTAACTGAGCGTGAAAACCGTTAAAAAAACTCGGACTGTCTATCTTGTTTTATCTTTGAGGATTTTTGTCTCTGCTCACGTTACAGTAACGTAAATTACTGCGCCTGGCATTTTTGCAAACCTTTGCTTGCTTGTTCCGAAATTTCACTTTTATTAACGAAAGAAAAGCTAGAAAGAAGTCCCGGAAAAGGTCGGACATAGTACGATTTGGCAGATGGCGTGAAAGCTTTAGCTCAGTTCTATGCTCTATACTCTCATAGAGCACGCTCTTTCAACCAATGACAGTACGCGTTATATCCGAGCTTTATTATAAATGCTAATGAGAAGAACAATTCAGAACAAATGAATAGATGCTCACAATTCGAATAAATTGTGAACATTTATTCGGTCACTTAATAATGCAGACTAATAAGAACGATTGTGGCTGCTTTTATAAAAAGCGAGTTTAATGGCCGCTTTTTAAGGGACAAAATCAGCGAAAAGGCGAGTATAATCATCGGCACTACAAGTATGAGTGCACCTTCAGGAACTTTAGGCTCCAAAGTCCAATGCATTCTAATGTGAATCACTCGTGTATGTTCAAACTGGTCACGAGGGTAGGAATAAAAGTTCAACAACATATCTATTATTGTAACAGCTCTGAGTTTGAAGGAAAAATGTCACCACCACACACGATTTTAGACCCCTGGTACCTCCCGTTTGCGCTTGGTGTTCGAGCTAAAATACCCCTACAGTCCAACGGCAGATTAATCATTCTACAGATATTGTTCAAATTTTCCAATCTTTACCTTACTCCTGCAACATAGGACTCCATTCCTCCTCTTAAACTGCTTTATTTCTCAATCCAGTCACGGTGATAAACGAGACTGTTGCGGAACACTCTGCCAGGGCGCCAAGGACACAACATTTCGTGCGGGATGCGGACTTAACATGAAACGACAGAATGTTACGATAAGAACTTTGACCTGAAAAAAAAATGCACAAAGAAAACCGCTTTTTGACTCTCTTTCGAAAAAATATGCACAAAGAAAACCGCTTTTTGAATTTAGCAAAATTAACATTCTGCGGAGACACAGGAATAGGTAGTGGTTTTTCCCAGAGACACATTATTTTCGCTGGTTGGAACGGAATATTTGTATTCCTTGGGTTTCACAGGCTTTCCCACAACCCCAAATACATGGTCAATAAAAATAAGCTATTCCCTGTAACGGAGTTTGGGTTTCCTTTTGCCTTAGGCAGTTAAAATGTTTATCTCCTTGTGGTAACATCTGCGTGGAATTTAAAGTGAGGCTATCATGAAACAACACACGCCACAATTATCATAAGTGCGAATGTCATCAACATGCTTTCTGATTTTGAAATTCGAAGGTTATATCTCCGCGGTAGCAAAACGTAATTCAATGAAAAAACAAGCAAAACGTCCAAACAATTCCGCTCTAATTAATGAGCAGAAAAAGAAGTGTAGAACATGATCTAACTGTAAAGTTACTGTTTAATTTCAATTCCTGGGCCTTGGTCGCGTTTCTAACGAACCGAATCAGGACGCTGCCATACCTTTACAACAAGCACCAAGATTGATTTGGGTCCAAATGTTACTGGCCCCTCCAATTTTGCTTGTTCCTGGATCGGTACATGGTGTTCCCCACAAGCTAAAGGAGAGGAAAGCCAAACAGGCTTACTACTATGACAGAGGTGCCAAACAGCTGAACAGATTGAAACCTGGAGATGTAGTGCGTGTGAAGCTGAGACCTAACTCAAAGGAGTGGACAAGGGCTGCTGTTGATAAGGAAGTTGACATTAGGTCATATCAGGTCCGTACAGAAGATGGTCGTACCTACAGGAGGAACCGAAGACACCTCAGACAGACCAGAGAGCCGTTCCTAAGAGCAATATTTGTGGAGTCTTCAACCGACCTTGCACAGTAACAGCAACCAAAAGGAGTAGTCCCCAGTGGCAATGTTGCTGCTCCGGAAGTACCAACTAGAAAGCCTGCTTCCGAAGTACCACCAACCAGAAAGTCCGTTTCTGAGGTACCAACCAGTTCTTCTGTCATTCAGCCAGAGTCAACCAGTGTGCGAGCGACTAGATCCAGTGACATAGTCTCAGTCCCTGCTTCTGGAGTCTCTACCAGTGCGCCAGCAGTGACTGTTACCACCACTAGAAGTGGCAGAGTCGTTAAGAAACCAGTCAGATATGACTCTTGAACAGTGATAGGACTTAAGAACATTGAGTAGGACTTTGGACTGTCACTAGGACTTATTTTCTTTCTAGCTAGCATTTCGTATTTATTTATTTATTTATTTTTTGTTGCCAAGGGGATGTGACGATATTTCGTGTGTTTTACATGACGTATTCACCGCTGACATAAGAGTGTAACTCGGATGAAAGCGTGTTTAGTTGATTAAAAGTTGTGTTCACGTATCGAGTTTTTTTCCGCCGTTTCCGTTTATCTGTAATCCGTCGCCCGGCCTTCCAACAACGTTGCACTTTGCACGGTAGATATCAACTACGGTAATATACGTTGACGAAGACTGAGTCATGACGGCTTAGGAATAATTTTAACAACAAACCGAAAAAAAGGCTGATAATGCCTAGCACTTGTAAACATAAAGAGGGAGCCCGCAATGCATTGGACCACCCGTTTAATACGAGCAGATTTAAATGACTCGAGAGTGGTCCGCTGAACAGTAGTACCAAATCACTTTGAGTTGCCTTCGCATTTAATTCTGTGACCTGATGATCTTAAGGCTCTTTGCTGACTGGAATCTACAAAGGCGGTTAGATGTGAACATTGTTAAAATAGCCTAATAATCAAAAAGCATCTATGCTAACAAAACTAAATGACAACAATGCTTTAGTTTTGAAAGATATCTAGATTTTTCTAAAATTTTCCTCATAAAGTTAAATAAAATGGAGCTCAGATAAATAAGAAGTCTTTCACAAATTAACTTTCTTGTCTTTTTCCTCAGGGCTTGTTACCAAGGAATGATCTACAGAATCATCACTGGTTTCTTTGTTTTCTTCCCCTTTTTGTGTGTATGTTTCACTGATTTCTTGTTTATCGTTTCCTTCTTTCGATTTTTTGTCTGTTTTCGCATCAGACGTGTTCGACTCTTCAACATCCATATCTTCTTCACTTTCCCCTTCCTTAAAGACAAAAAGTTACAAGGTTAAGCACACTCATTATTTTACTATAAAATTCACCTTCACAGACTCATACAAGTAAATTTTTATTTCAAATTGAGTTCTCTCAGTTTTCCTCCGATAAGAAGACAAAGAACCTTTTTGGCTAGCAGACTATTTGGTAAGAATCAGGACTTACCGATTCATCGCATTCCTTGCATACCCACTGATATCCCCGAGTCTTGGGATTAGCCTACACATGATGTAAAAGTAAGAAAGCTATCAACACACAGCAATGGATAATGAAGGGCAGTTTCGGGGTTAAAGGGGGTAAGTCTCTAAAGAAACTGTGTTGCCGCGTCGGTGGGAGAGTAAAAAAAAGATAATTTGGTTTTATCAACTGCGTTTATCATGTAAATTGACCACCATAAAGAGTTTCAAAGTTGAGGTGTCGGGCGTTAGCCCTTCGTCAGAAGGAATGACTGGATAACTCAATCACTAGTTCTTGGGGTTAACCTAAATACAAAAGTAAGAAAGCCATTTACACACAGCAAAGGATATATTGCGCTATAAAGTTACTTAAACTATACGTCTATCCACACGAATCATGTGACTTTTGTCCATTGGAAGAAGCTGTTAATGAAACAACTGATGGGCTCTGAGACCTCTGTGTCATGCTTTTCGACCAGCTCCATTTTTCTGCAGTTATACTCTATTATGTAGCACCAAATCACTAGTTTCTCTTGGCTTAGTGTTTTTCTCCTTGAGCTGCTCGCAAACTAATGGCCACGTATCAGTTCTTATTGTGTGAATTACCATCACAGTCTACCTACCTTAACTGGAGGGTCAAGGCAATGAAAGTGATAACACAGCTGACAATTGTCACACCTGGAAAGTAAAGATACAGCGATAAATTACGCGGAATATACAGTAAACCCTGATAACAAGACGGTAGGATAATTTTGATTTATACCTGACAAGATTAACATTGGTTCCACTATGTTTACACACGCTACATTCAGTCCGCACATCCACTGGCTTCTTTTTTTTGTCCGCACCCTCTGGATCTCTCCTCACAGGCCGCCGTCCTCGTTTTGGTGCAGCTTCTGAGTCGGATGATAGTTTAGGTTTCTGCGTAACACAAACCAAAGGTATCAACACTTAAAAAGGTCTTATCACGTTTTATGTCAAAGCAGTTTTGGTAATTTTTGCCGTTATTCCTTTAATTGTTAAAGTACGTTTTGGTTGCATTGCAGTTTTATCAAGCTATACAGTATTAAGTGAGAATTTGGGCCATGATTCTTTCTATGTATTTTGTTTTCATGTGGAAAAAGAACATACTCACATTTTACAACAAGTTGAGAGAACATAATGAATGCAACGTACAAATTAAACCTAAATCAGTAAACACTCACTTTGCTCACATCTTCGGCTTGTGCTGTGGGATTTTTCCGTTTGGCCGTCTTCAGTTTTCGCTTTTTTGCCTTAAAAAGAGGAAAACCAGATGTAATTAGTGCTGTCACCCCTTATCGATATCGGTCCGGTCACCAGAGCTATTATTTGCTTGATTTCCTATATGAATATGTCTTGTGTATAATAAACCTTACACTGCAACTAGAAATAAGAAAAAAGTTCTTCATTTTCTCTTTTTAGTGGTTTATCTCCATTATTTTGATTGTGACACTTAAGCTAATAAGAAAAAGAGAGCATGATTAAACAACACTTACGAGTACTAGGCCTTACCTCTCCCTTGTCAGGAGTAAATTTGCTCGGCTCCTTGATGACCCGTCTGTGGCGCGCTTGAGAGATGGGTGTGGTGTCCTGTGGATCTACTTCCATTTCTTCATCATCTTCACTTGGGTCACACTCTGAACATTGCCTGTTGACACAAGATACATATCATTCTCACGGTTTAGAGCGCAAATACTTATGCAGAGGGTTTGGCCAAAGCTCTTGTACCGTATTCGTTTCTCTCGACATCGCTCTCTTTAGGAGAGCGACAAGAAAGTCAAGAAAGACAAGAAAGTTAACTTGCGATCAGTTATGCAGCTACTGAAATTGTGACTCCGTAACTGACGCGGAACACACACAGATGAACTTTGCCGACTTTTTCCTAAATTAAAAAGACTGCAGTGCTACATGTTCTGTTGAACTGAACTACACCAGCCAAGTATAATGCGTTTTTTTAATCCTGTGCATGAAAGTGGTCCTTAAAAGAACTGCTGAAAGGAATTAATCATCTGTAGCAAGGGTAGTCATGAGTATGTGGTAGAAGTAAGAATAAAGTTGATACAAAGGTCCCTAGATATCAAACGCTTTTCACTTTAAACATGGTGAAGCTTGACCCTCCCCCCTAATCTCAGTCTCCAAACTGTCGCTCTCATAACCTACCACAAACACTTGGCTGAACGCTTGGGCATGCGTGTTAGAGGTGGATCGACACATCCAAGATGATAATGATGATGACACGTGTCACACTGCACCAGCTGATGTTGATTCTCTGTTGTTTTACACGTCGCACAACTGAAATATAACCCACAACAAATACATACAGATGCTCATCAAATGAAGGGAGCCACTAAGAGAGCTAAATTTGCCTGAAGTGCTTAATGCGCATGCTTTTATCTGTGTATTCGCAACCTAATCTACCAAGGAAATCATGCTATGGAGTAAGTTGACCTACACGTTCAGTTTAAGTGACTTAATCCTCGTCTGCGATGCTGAGTGTTTCGGCTTTTTGAGTTCTAATAAGGGTGGCTTAGCTAACTCCTGAAATCAAAAACACAGTAAAAAAGTTGCTATGTGGTCTGTAGTTATCAGAATAAAAGAAATGACTGGTTCAATATCAATATCAAAATACCGTAAACGCTGAGCTTCTTTCTTGCTTACTTCAACAAATAAATAGTAAAATTCACGATTCATGATAAGGAGCATAGGTCTGTCCTCTAACACTAACAAGTCCTGATTAATCTTACTCATGATTGAAGGAAAAATATATATATATTTCCCTTTCCTTTCCAACTACAGAAGGAGGTTAACAAGAAAACAGAATGAATAGGAAAAATCAACTACGGTTTCCAATATTTGCAACTAACTTGAAAAGAACATGGTGAAGTTCTAATGATTTATAAGACGCACGAAGTACGTTGTCCTACATTTGCAGCCAACTTGCACAGAACGTGGTGAAGTTCTAATGATTCGTCTCTTCTCTCCTGGACTTCTTCAGCCAGAAATTGAACGCTTTCCGTTAACTAGATTAAAAAGAAATAAAGTGAATAGCATTAACACAGTGTTTGATAGAATTTTAAAGTTTGTCTTTTTCGAAAGTTCGACAAAATTTATTTACTGATGATGCTGTCTTTATTAAATGTTATTTAAAGAAAGAAAACAAAACAATGTACCCTCGTCATATCTCATAAACCATTGTTTCTACATAGAATCAAAACCATACGAAGATCTTTAATGATAACTAAACTTTGAACTCATGAAATTGACAAACCATTTAAGAAACATCAAGTGCTTTACCGCTTGATACTTTTCTCTTAAATTTTGTTCCTCTTGCTGCAATCGCTTGTTATTCAGTCTCAGTTCGTCTTGGCGCTCCTGCATCTCCTTCAATCTGGCACTTCGATCTGGGAAGACGATACACGAAGAGTAACAATAATACTATGACCGTAAGAAAGGGAATAACCAAAGAACTACAAAAAAAGGTACACTTGGCATAAGGACAGCACTTGAAAGTACTATAATTGCTAATATTTCGAAAGACAGAACTTGCAGCAAATGCAGTCGAAATTGAATTATGCTCATAAAAGTGAAGGAACACAAAATAACGGGAGACTAAAAAGTTAAAGGAAACAAACAACGATGTTACCATGGTAATAGTTCACAAATTCGCTAGTGAGAGCTGGTTGAACAAACCACTTGCGACGAACATTCATGACACCCTGGCTCTGAAAGATAAAGTGATAATTCCCACGTGTCAGGAAAGGCAACACAGTTATGAACAAAATTACACTACAACTGTGGAGTTTGACCTTCCTAAACTTACTATCCAAACGTCAAACAATGCACGTACTACCCACTAACATTTCGTTTCTGGAGAAGGAATAGTATATTGAGTTATGAGCTCGACTGACTGGAAGGAGACAGATGAAACATTGGAACGTCTCGTGTTATTTACTTCTTTTTCTGCTTTTTTTGTTTTATGTAGATGCGGGTGTGTGTGTGTGTGTGTGTTTGAGTGGTACGTAGCACTAATATCCATCAATTGATCACTTAAGTGTGGCCGCCCTATCTCTCTAATTAAAGGTAACTTGTATCGTCTATAGTGTTTATAATTGCAGTAATTTACGTATAACTGTTGGGTACAAATAGAAAATAAAGTTGTTAAAGTTGTTGCACCGTTATGTTCTGAAATCAGTCTACCCAGTAACTATTTACCCCAGTCTACCCAGTACCTATTTTGTGGTTTAGCATGAGACCTTTAGATGCTAATTATTTTAACAGTACCTGCCCTGTAGTGTAGCCCAATAATTGTGCTTTCTTGAAAAGCTGACGACATGCTGGAAAATTAATTTAAAATAGAAAATGTCAAGCTTCTCATATGTTTTTGGATCAACCTGACTAACTATAAAGACAGTATCAAAATTATAAGTGCCACGTGGTTCTGTCAGCCTGTAGTAAAATATCCAACCTCTTCTATAAATGATTGAGCAGTCTTATTTGGGTAATACTGAAAGGTATTAGGAGTAACGCATTAAGAAACAGAGACATGTTATGCCTACAAGAGTCATTTTTGAGTTATCTAAAAGAAATAAATTAAAAAAATAACTCTATGTAAGTGTGTGGAGTGGTATTTTGCTTGCACCAATCAGTTTGCTGCATTAGGGGAAGTATCTTGCATCAATCAGATTCCTTCATAAGTGTATGTATTAAGCACCAATCAGATTGCCACATAGGGGTATGCATCTCACAACAATCAGATTGCTGCCTTAAGGTATGTGTCTTGCACCAATCATATCACAGCATTTGGATATCTTGTACCAATCACAGCATTTCAGTATTGCTTTCTTGCAAATATGTCATGGAATCAGGGGATAATTTTGTATGGCATAACCGACTCAGCCAAGTGTGAAGTTCAAATCAAAACTTGAATGTTGAAAATAGATGTTGAATGGTGAAAATAAAACTAGAATGTTGAAAATAAAACTTGTATGTTGAATTATGAAACTTGGCTGTTGAAAATGAAATGAAACAGAATTTTGGCAGTGATTGAAAGCCATACCATAAGAGCCATCACAAGGTAAAAACAAAATTATCAATCAAATATGCTATATACAAATGCTTTGCACAATTTCTATCTGAATCAGCAAAACTAACCCTTGTTAAACAAACGCTCAAGTGATAATTTCGTGTTAAGCCTTCAGCTGACAGCCTGTGCGTTCTAAGGGAATATATATATATATATATATATATATATATATAAACAGGCTTGTCGGTATGAAAGGGTGGTCTCTGTTTTTTCCCTAACTCAATATTTATATAAACATATATGCTATTATTAAGATGGCTTCTCTCACCTCCTGGACATGTGCTCAGTAGTCGAGGAATTTTTTCTGAGGGAGCTTTGAAAGAAAAAAGAAAAACATGTTTTAAAAGAACACAAATTTGAGTAAGGAAAAATTCCAATTTCTCAAATGCTAACAATCACTTATTTCACAATTTGAGGTTTTTTTTTCACCTATATAATCCAAATTCACCCACAAGACCAATTAATGAGCTGGAAGCCTCCTCAAGTAATTTTGAACACTTCTCTGATAACAGATGTCTCAATGAGAAACAAACCTATCTTTGACACATTGATGTTGACATTTCTCCAATCTTACATAAAATAGGTGTGGTACTATATGCTTGTTTGAAATAAAAAATATACTGTATGGACACTGCTTTGGAACACTTACTGAAAACTTTTGTGAGATTTTTCATTCGCTTTGCCTGAAATTCTTGACGGATGCTAGTCAAACAGTGTTTCACTCTTTCCTGTCAAAAAAGAAAGAACTCATCATTGAAAGCAGTCCTTCTGAATTACTTGGAAATATTCCATTTGAAAGGGAAATAGCTTTAACATACCTTGTCCTCTGCTGACCGCCTTTCACTTGCTTTTTTGTAGCGTGACTGGTATGCTAGCCATTGGCGTCTCTAGGAAAGGAGAAAGCATTATGACAAGACAGAAGCTCACATTTATTACTCAGTAATTAAAAGTAATGTTCTGTACAAAATGTAGGTGTGTTTTGAGTCTTTTACTTGAGCTAATTATGAATTATGTTTGCTCTTCATTCATAACAGCAAATTCCACAATTTTTGGTGTGATCTTACCCTGTTTGCAGTTGTTTTTTTATCTGCATGCAGCCTGCAATGCGCAAATAGAGGATCTGCAACATCCTGTGAAAATAAAGTACACAGAACTACAACTTACAAAAACCTACAAAACACCACCATCTTTTTTCATATCTAAGAACATAATAAACCAGTAGTAAGCTACCTACGATTACAACTCGGTCACTAATTATTACATTTACTAGCATTAAGGATTTTCATGAAATTCAAACTTGTTTTTCCCTCACCTCATCATTGAATTATGAAGTATATTTAAAGAGCATTTTGTACCTCATCACACTCTTCTGGAACATCTGACAAAAGTCCATACATCTGAGCACTAATGAGAATAAAAATAAGCATTTGATGTTATTTTAGCATTGATCTTAAATGCAAATATAAATAAGACATCTGATATATATAAGATATTGTTATAATATTCTGAAAAAATATGGTCAGTGGTTAAATCAACATACAATTTTTGATAGAATCAAGAGGAACAAAAACCATTTTGAAGTCACTTAAGTGAGAAGTACTAAGGTTTGGTTTCTCGACATTGCAGCACATTGTATTGTGTTAGTTACCATGTGACATGGAAGTATGTCCTGCACATTCCAGCATCACATTCAATGCACACCCCCGTCCTGCAAAACCGCTCATCTTCACAGAGAGTACAATCCTATGGAGGCCAAAAGCGAATAAAGCTCACAATATATTGAACCAGTCATAACTTCTTTACAGGGATCACACTTTTCTGTTGACCTTTCTACTGCTGCAATTATTTACCTTTGCACCCCACTTGTAAGGAGGAACTTCTGATAGTGTGACGCACTGAAGCTGCTCAGGTTTAACAAATGCCACATCTGGGGTATAGAGAGCGCACAGCAAATGAACCCATCTGTTGGACATACAACATTCAAAGAGCATTACATACTTAATGGTTTACATCTCACTGCATGTAGTGATACTGCTTACTGCAATGATCCATCGAAAGAGGAGTTTTTTCATTGACAGTTATACAATCCTTCATAGGAAACATTAACATCAATTTATCAACTTACATTCCCTTCTGAGCAAAACAAAAAGAATCCTAAGATCATACAAACTATAATAATATGAAATCACTGTACTCTCCTCAACTTACTGGCCTGTGTCTGTTTCTTTGAAAATTCCACCAAGATTTGGGCACAACTCGCAGTCCTATTAACAACATAAGGTAACAATAAGAATGAAATAAAAACAATTAAAACATATGTTTTGCATTACACAAGTCAAGGAAGATAAAGTGTTGATTACTCACTGGTTGAACTCCCAGTTTGCAGGCATCGCAAAACCACAGTTCTGTAGGTGAGTCTGTATCGTTACTTTTTCCAGAGTCACTGTCTTCATCGTTGATACCATAGCAACCTATCACAACAATCACACTATATCAAGGCAGCTGCTTACCAGTGCTACAGATTAGTTTTCACTGATAACTAGACTATACATCACTTCACTTTTCAAAATTCCTTGCCTTATTCTGACTTTCCCTGATAGATATAAATTTCTTTCTGATGCAACTTACAGTATTTTTTTATCCAAACTCCCTTCACAAGCATCCTTTCCATTCATTGACAAAATTTTTCACAAGTGACATTTTTGCAGCCAAAAAATCAGAAAGGTAAAAAAAGACATTTTTAGTGACCTTTTTTCAACATTTTTAATAAAAACTTTTACAGCTTTCTCCTTGACCTCAAAGAGTTTTTCCCCTGACCACTTTTATGTAATTGTGTGGAAACCATTTAATAGGCAACTCATTTTGGGAATATCAGTTTACCATTAACAGACTCTTGTCGACTTTTCATCCTCTAGTATTTAAGTTATGGCCAGGTGCACAAAGAAAAAGCAATGACAGTAATGGATTGTTACCTTCATGAACAGTGATTCCACAGTTATCACATTCCACTATTTCATCCCCTTCATCACTGTAATACATTTGAAAAAGATTGTGTTAGAAATAAATACAAAATAATGGTGAAATTCAATGTACAACTTTATTTCAATAGTAACTATAATCATCTCTATCTTATTGAAACCTTCAAGGGAAACTGAAGATTTGATTTTTAGGGAGTTGAGATCAAATGATTAAAAATACCAAGGATATAATTACAATATATATGTAAAACAAAAATAAAACAGACATTGATTTTGGTTCATATCAATTCATAAAATTTGAACTAGCCAAGGTTCAAGTTATTAGAAGTGGAATAAGCTTTGAAGAAAGTAGCAAACAAAAAATTATTAATCTACATATTACCAGCTTTAATACACAGCTTTGTTGCAAACCTGGTTCATTTATCATTAGTGATTTTATTCTTCTATGATATCACCTCACAATTAACCTTGGTTTGCCTAAAACCCCTTGAAGCAAGGTAATTAAACACTTAATGGTAATTATACAGAACAAAAGTTCATTTCCTCAATCTATGATTTCATCACAATTTTCCATCTTTTTCCTAAACCTTTTCATCTCAGTTAGAAATACTTTTCAAGAAGTTTTAAATTTCATCTGTTTTGAAAACTTGGTACCAGTATGTTTAACAATGCTCTTGGAAACTTACCTTAATCATGGATTAAAGAGTCCTTACTACCCATATTGTCTATACATACATTGTTATTACATACATCAACTCAAAATTAAGTCAAATGTTGACAATAACTCTACATTAATTATACATGGAAGAGTGAAAATGTAACAACAGTACTACATGTTGTTTATTATCAGCTTTTGGGAATTTTAATTTAATAAGCAAAAAATACTAAAAGCTAAAGTATCAAAGTCTTTCAAAAGTATTTACTTACCTAATGTCATCCAGGCAGATTCCACAAATTAATATGTCCACCTTCTTGGATGAAGCCGAAACTTCACTGGAGGCCTGCAGGAAAAATGTTTGAAACTGATTAATAAAACCATTGACTCCTAAACAGACTTTGATTGATCATGGATTATTTGAAGTAAATGACATTCACAAAATAGTATGAAAAGCCTTACAGGATTCTGTTTTTAGTTTATTAGGGGATCAATTACAAGAAGGCTGTGAATATCATGCCACAAGTTATTGTGAGTATTTTAAATACAAAAGAGACTCAAACAATTATCAATTGGTCATAAATGAGGCTTTCAAGCAAATATTGATCTTTTGTTAGTGCATTAGTTTAGCCTTTTGTTATAAAATCTAAACCTTGATGAGAGTATGTGAATGCTAGAATTAATAATTTCAGGTAAAAATTTGTATACTATTATTTGATCCCTCAATTTCCTTTGTTTCTTAAATGTCTCTTAACTGTCTCATAATCAGGATTAAGAGACAAAGAAAATTTAGCATTAACAATAGGTACAAACTGTTTCATCTGAGACAAATATTCAACAGCAGTTAATACAGAATACATGATTATGAGGGATTTATGATTACAAACAAATACACATTCATTATATGTGTAGTTTGCCTAGTTTGCTTGGGGGTGGTCATATCATTTGCTAACTATATTTTGTGGTTTGTTTATCACATTTCTTAAAGAAATAATAATTTAATTAGCAAAAGTAATTACAGGATATTTCAACAAAAAATAAATTAAATAAAATTGGATTTGAATCTAGCCTCTGATGCCCCTTTGCATGTAATAGAACTGATAGAATTTTAAATTGATTTACCACTGAGCTTGGCTGACTGGTGACAGCTTTAGCCTTGGTTTTCATAACTTCTATCAAGTCACCTACAGTAAGAGCACTGACAGCTGTCAAGGATTCACTTCCATCTTCATCATCATCATCATCGTCATCATCATCGACATCATTTTCATCATCATCATCTTCGCTTACTTCTTGTACTTTTTTGGTGACTTTACCTTTATCTTGCTGCTCTGTTATATCAGTCTCTTCATCTGAACCAGAACCTCCTGATGAATAACATGCAGTTACAACTGGGCAAATCACTAGGCTTGATTTTCAGAAATTATCAATCAATCAATTAATCATTATTTAAAAGGTAATTTGAGGAGTAGAGGCAGCCAAAATGCAGCATATTGAATACTGCATAAGGGCAAAAATCATCCATGAGTTTGGCAGATGGTGTTGTTAAAACATTGATGTGATAAGCTGAAAATGTAGGGTAAGAAATTCTCTCATTTTATTGAGGAATTGAAAGCTTCAACTATTGTTAGTTCTGGTATGATTAGATTGTTTTTCCCAGAATTTGCCTGAGCCAATTTACCTTTGTGATATTCTTTGTATTCATTCATAAGTTTCAATTTCCTTTCTAATACTGACTTTCATATGAGCTATTGAGATCCAATGACTTCAAAATTAAGAAGGTTTGAGTAAGATTCTAGAACAAAGCTAAAAAGAAAGATGCTGCCTAACCAAGTTTAATGAGGAATTTCAATGAAAAAAAAAAAAAATGGATCACTTCACAATGATGTTTGATGAAAGGCAAAAAATTTTGCAAACTCTGCCTGCTTTCACCACAGCTTTGTTCTGCTAGATTCTGTTTAGATAAGAAAAAACAATAGCCTGGGTCTAAAATGCTCTCCTTCCAAAAGATCCAAAACAAGAACAAAATGGAATCACTTATCACATATCACTGAAAGGAACAAAATACAAAATTTAGCAAAAAGACAAATTCAGGGTAATGCTCAACAACAAAATTGTACTTTTGTATTGAGGAAATGGGACAATTTTAAGCAAAATGATAGAAAAAAAACCATTAAATACCAAAACGAGATCTGTTTAACCCTTCGATCAAAATCAAAGAGACTTAAAGGAGTCTGAGGGATATCAGCACCTTCATCATCATCTTCATCATCATTAAGCTCAAAATCTGCATCCTCTTCACTGTCTTCACTGTCCTCTCCAAGAGCCAATTGAAGGAGAGAATTGTTACCAGCTGGTTTTATCTGCCTCTTGTTTGGACCTCTGTTTACTGAAAAATAAAGCAAATACATTTTGCATTCAACACTATTTTATCACAAGCATTCCCTGATCTAATCTTCCCAACACTGTGGCAAGCAAAATAAATTTATAGGTCTTCCACTCCCAAAAGAATGAGAGGGAAATTGACATTTATACGCATACAGATCTTTTCTATTAAGGGCACTTCACCACCAACATTGAAGAAAAAATGATTTCAGAGAGAACTTACTAAGGTAGATATGATCAGAACTTTGAATAGAAGCTTCCCTCAGGACAGGGTGGGACACAAATACTTTAACCCAGCAGGATATCTGAGAGCATTTTTTTGGTTAACCTGTGATAGACTCACACCCCATTCAGTAGGAACAGTTTAGTGCGTGCCACTATGATCCTGACACTTGCTAAAATTTGCTCAGTTGATTCCCTTTGGCAATTAGTCAGTTTACTGAGGTAATGACCATTTTTTCAAATTTCTGACATACAGTCATATCCCTAATCTCATACCCAGGTGATTCTCAGCTCCAAGGGAGCAGTCAAATACCAAATCCAAGACATTCGGCACTTTCTGGTCAAATCCCGATCCCATAAATAGTGTACTAAAGGTAGCAAAAGAACTCATGTTTCAGCTTCATAATCATAAAAGCACCCTTTATTCAAAACTGACAGACTCAACTAAATACTCATGAAAATAACACCCTTCCTTTCTTGACATTGTTTCCGTTATTTGCCACTGTTTGTAAATTTGGTACCAGGCTGCTATCTGTCACATTTACATCAGAGACATGAAATACCTAGAGACAATTAACTTTCAAACGTTCTTCCTTCTTTGGTTGTGTTGTATATAGGGTCTCATAACCATATGACCAGATAAGGTAATTGTATGGCAGCGGGTTTCCCAGTTCATTTATCTTTCATTCCGTTTACCGATGTACAGCGGCATAATCACTTTGACACATGGATGTCTAAATTACGATTTGTGACAATAAAATCCGACAGAAACAATCAGCCTCCTCACTTCTATATTACCAATTAATCATTTTACACTACTTCGCTAACATAAAAATAGTCATGGATAGAAAATACTTACAAATTGACTTTAGAAAGGTGTCCTTCTCTAACGCTTCTTTATCCGCCATATTGATTGATGTTAATTACGCGTAGGGACTAGTTACTAGGTACTATTGCGTGACCAACGTAACGGGCGCCCGAGGGTAAACACGGGCGGAAATAGGGTAGGAACGTCATGTATGGGCTATTATTATGTCCTCAATACATATTATGTCCTATACTTTACATACATGCAATGTACTTTACACACAATACCCTACGCACATATGCAGGGCTAAACAAGGCTAGATACGGCTATAAACAGCTCTACAGGGCTATACACAGCTCTACAGGGTTATACACAGCTATAAAGGGCTATACAGAGGTATAAGCAGCTATACAGAGCTATGCACATCTATACAGGGCTATACACACCTAGACAGAGCTAAGGACAGCTATCCAAGGTTATACACAGCTATACAGAGCTATACAAAAGTATACACCGCTATACAGGCCTATACATAGCTATACAGGGCTATACACAGCTAAACAGGGCTATACACAGCTATAAACAGCTATACACAGCTATACACAGCTATGCAGAGATATACATAGCTATACACAGCTATACACAGCTCTACAGGGCTATATACAGCTATACAAGACTATACACAGCTATACAGGGCTATACACAGTTATACGAGACTATACACAGCTATACAGGGCTATACACAGCTATACAGGGCTATACATAGCTATACAGGGCTATACACAGCTATACGCTCGCAATACGCAGCTAAATAGAGCTATACACACCTATACAGGGCTATAGGGCTATACAGGGCTATACACAGCTACACAGAGCCATACACTGCTTAACAGAGCTATACACAGATATACAGAAATGTGCAAAAATGGATGGAAGAAATTTTGAGTTCCCGTTGCTATTCTATTGAACGTATGTGATTGATTGACGTATGTGCATCAGATTTATTTGTTCCTGAAGGGCGAAGGATTAGGCACATCAAAAATGAAATTAAGGATCAGTTTGTCATCTAATAAGTATAAAAATGCTGTAAAACGAATTTTCTTAGTTTTCTTTTAAATTCTTACTCCGAAATAGGCCGAAGATACCACTTAAGCGCTCAAGCGATCGTAGAAAACCTGCAGAGCTGAACGAAAAATGTTATCCACTAGTTAGTAGGATAAGGAAATTCAGACTAATGTGATTTACTTGGATTTTGCGAAAGTATTCGACTCAGTCGATCATAACATTCTCTCGACCAAGCTAAGGGCGTATGGGTTCTCGGGACAATTACTTGCATGGTTCGCTGATTATTTAACGGGTCGAGCTCAAAGGGTAGTTTTGGACGGCGCTGCATCGCAATGGGCCCCGGTTACTTCCGGCGTCCTGCAAGGGAGCCTGTTAGGGCCATTATTGTTCACAATCTTTATTAACGATCTCCCGGGTGAAACTGTAGGTGGGATGAGGGCAGCGTTATACGCTGATGACACCAAGCTGCATAAAAACGTCCAGCTCCGTCGGCGATTGTCTGTCTCTGCAGACCACTCTAGCAAACGTGAATGACTGGTCAAAGGGAAATAACATCAACTTCAACACCTAGAAATGCACAACGCTTACTGTGACGCGGATGAAAACTCCCTTGATTTACGAATACACCCTAAACAACACACAACTTGTGCAAGTGTCCGTGGAAAAAGATCTAAGAGTTACAATTACGGGTACGTTGTCTGGCACTCTTATATATACACCATCACCACTTGAGATAACAAGCTCCGTGGGCTCCTAAAGCGGACATTTCCATTACTAACTGACGTGTCTACCCGGTGCGCGCCATACTTATCGCTAGTCAAGTCACAACTCTGCTACGCTACTCAAGTCTGGTCGCCTGCTCAGGTTTCCCTGAAGGCACAAGTCGAGTGAGTGCAGCGGCGCGCTACCAGATGGATCTTACAAACCTGGATTGGTGAGATGTCCTACAGAGATAGACTTATTACCCTTGACTTACTCCCTCTTACCTACGACAGAGAAGTGAAAGACTTGGTATTCTTTTATAAGTGCTTCTTTAATCATATTCACCTTGATGTATGTAGTTTCACAAATTTTATTTCTCACGGCTGTACAAGACTAAGCAGCCCCTTTAATTTAAAAACACCAATCTGTGAAACGAGCACTTTTAGGCCTCCTACTTCAATCGCATTGTGAAACTTTAGAATTACTCTTGTTCTATTGCTCCTTCCTTTAGTTTTTCGACTCCGCTCTCCTTCCAGCTTTTCGTCAAACAAACACTTTTTGTCCTTTGACATTGACTGGCCCTGCACGTAGACACTAATTAGAACTTGTTCGTGCTACAATCTAGAGGTGTATTTAGTACTATGTTATAAACCAAATAAAGTTGTTAAAAAAGTTGTCAATTCAAATGGCAGAAATTGAAGCAAATTCAGACTGACTTGTTAAGTCTTCTTGTAGCATGTAACCTGTTCTTTCTTTGTCAAGAATTAATACAATGGTTTTCGCCAAGGTTTCGACAAGTTAAGGGTCATTAGTATATACTAAAGTAGTGGATAGCGTTGAAGGT